CAGCAGTCTGTAATGTACAATATAGTGCAGCAGTCTGTAATGTACAATATAGTGTATATAGTGCAGGAGTCTGTAATGTACAATATAGTGTATATAGTGGATGAGTGTGTAATGTACAATATAGTGTATATAGTGGATGAGTGTGTAATGTACAATATAGTGTATATAGTGGATGAGTGTGTAATGTACAATATAGTGTATATAGTGCAGGAGTCTGTAATGTACAATATAGTGTATATAGTGGATGAGTGTGTAATGTACAATATAGTGTATATAGTGGATGAGTGTGTAATGTACAATATAGTGTATATAGTGCAGGAGTCTGTAATGTACAATATAGTGTATATAGTGGATGAGTGTGTAATGTACAATATAGTGTATATAGTGGATGAGTGTGTAATGTACAATATAGTGTATATAGTGCAGGAGTCTGTAATGTACAATATAGTGTATATAGTGGATGAGTGTGTAATGTACAATATAGTGTATATAGTGCAGGAGTCTGTAATGTACAATATAGTGTATATAGTGGATGAGTGTGTAATGTACAATATAGTGTATATAGTGGATGAGTGTGTAATGTACAATATAATGTATTATAGTGGATGAGTCTGTAATGTACAATATAGTGTATATAGTGCAGGAGTCTGTAATGTACAATATAGTGTATATAGTGGATGAGTGTGTAATGTACAATATAATGTATATAGTGCAGGAGAGTGTAATGTACAATTGTCTGTCCCCCAGTACAATACCCCTCCTGAGGTCAGTCTGTCCCCCAGTACACCCCAGAAACAGTAACCCCCCCGGACATCAGTCTGTCCTCCAGTACAATTAATAACCCCCCAGGTCAGTTGATTGCCCCGCAGGGCAATATCCCCCCTTTCTCACCAATGTCAGTCTGTCCCCTGTCTGCACAATTCCTCCCTAGCTCAGTCTGTCACAATCTGCATAGCTCAACCCCTCCATTTCCTAAATTCAGAGGCCTCACCTCAGACACATCTCAAGAATGAGAGAAGTGTCACACATTGCACCCATGGATGATATGCCACTGTTCATGCTGCTGGCTCTGCCAAGTGGTGTTGGGCCAAACTATGCAGACAGGCACCATTAAAGAATATGTTCAGTTTCCGGAATATGTATCATATTCCACCCGTATTTAAGGTAGAACATGTAACATGTTCCAGCTCCAAATATATAAATGCACATTTTTTTACCTTCAAAAAGTTGTGCATTTATAATTTTTTTGGTAAAAAGTAAACTTATCCTTTAAATGGGAGGTCGGTGCTAAGACCCAACTTGACTTCATTTGAGGATAGTTTTCTCTGCAATATGTTAAGCTACCGAAGTCCATAGGGGTTTGTTTTAAATCTCATTTACTGCTTGTTAAGAATATGTAAATGCTTGGATGCCCATAGCCTGTTCACGGTTCACTTTTAAGGGTGTTTTGTGTGAGAAATGTGCAGTGAAAATGTCTTAAAGTGTTACTAAACCCACAACAGTAAAATCAGTCTGTATATGCAGTAAAGCATGCTTGTTATACTCACTGTGGAACCTAAGGGGTTAATCCTCTGCATTGTGTAAAAGGGCTGTTTGATCCTGTCTTCTCTGCTCCTCCTCTTGTTCAAATGTCCACTTCTTAACTCCTGATTAGACAGACTGAACCGTAGCCATTCTGCACATGCTCAGTTTAGTGTGTATTGCTAGAGAGGTTTTTTTTTTTCTTTGTAGAATGCATGTGATCAGCACAGGGCCAATCAGCACTGTCCAGACATAGGTCAGGGGTTCTGCATCCTCCTAGAGCAGAAAAAAACCCTCCTACAAGCTTTAACCAGTGCTCTGCTGAACACTGACAGAAGTCACAAGACTGCTCTGACTGCCGATGAGAAAAGGTATTTAGCAGTTTATATTTACTAAAATAATTGCATTTCCATGTTGTGTGTAGAGTGGATGCAGGGTCCTGGGTTTAGTAACACTTTAAGTGTTTGCACAAGCACCTTGAATGGTTGCCATATTTTTTGTAATAGGATTATCTCAGTGGCCCTAATGCTATTTTTTTTATTGAGGCATTTTATTTTGGCCACTAGAAGGAGCTGATGATCATAGGAGATAATCCTATTACACAAAATATGGCAATCTTTTTTGATGCTTAAGACATCTGCACATCAAATTTTGTATATGTAAACCCCTAATTGAGGCAGCCTCAGTTGTTATACTTAATATCTGTACACAAGTGATACCAGTCTCATAGGAACTATATAAATAAATAGATATTATAGATATAATGTTTCAATGGCAGGTGATTAGTGCAATTATAATGAAACTGCAGGTGTATGAGACACCATCCGTAGTGGAAATGTCACTGTACAGCTTGCGGTGACTATCTCCATAGCTCACGTCCCAGTGCTCCTGTATAAGCTGTCATATTTCTTCCCGTTCCTGCCACTAATGAGCACAGACGTGACGTTTATCAAACTTACAGCATCTCTGTGACAGTGCTGTATGGCTTCAAGCTGTTCAGAAATGGAAATCCCAAATGATGAGACAACAAAGAATTCCTAAGCTGACAATACACATGCTAATTTGAAGTATTTAGCTCTTCTCAACATTAGGCCTTCCATACCTTCCTCCATCTGATCCCAAATTCATATTGTGGTGGTAATACTGGGGCTTCATTGACAGCGTTGGAGAAGTAATGTCAAATCTTGGAAATATTGCATTAGACAATCCCTGTCTTGTTTTTATTTTGCATTTTTTTCTACAATTATAACTAGAATGTATTTTAGGGTAGTTCATTATTTCTGCATGATCAAGAAAGCCAGTCTTATGTAGTGGTTTCAAGTTCAAGTTTTCAAGTTCATGTATGTTAGCCTTCTTCAGATCTTGGTTAATTGAGGCTGTAGGGCAGCATACTGATCCAATTCACTGCACATAGTACGGCTATTCAGAATTCCATAATCATACTTGGAGAAGAACTCCAGAAAATCTTTTAGAAAAAAAGAGGAGGAAATAAATAGGAAGAGATTTTCAGAGCCAGCAATTAAAGTGATTGTAAATGCCTATGTTTTTTTTTTTCCTGCTGTGTGTGGGGTCAGCAGCCCTGATCCTCCTTTCCTAGGTCCCCCGCCGGTGCTCCTGGCTCCTCCCCTCTGCTGCTTGCTATGGGGCACTCATGCATGCACACTCCTGAGCCCTGCTCTGTGTATTCATAGACACAGAGTGCAGCTTGGTCTCGTCCTCCACCCCCCCTTACTGGCTATGGACTAGGGGCGGATTGACCATTTGGAAACTCGGGGAATGTCCGAGGGCCCGGGGTTAGTAGGGCCCCATGAGATACCCCTGGTACCTTTTTTGACCTTTTTTGAAAGAACTCAGGGGAACATGCCCTATTGAGGGCCCGGGGTTAGTAGGGGGCCCCATGAGATACCCCTGGTACCTTTTTTCATAGGCTTTTTTGAGTTTGTGCAAGGACACAGGGGCCCCATGATCCCCTATTGAGGGCCTGGGGTCAGTAGGGGGCCCCATGAGATGCCCCTGGTACCTTTTTTCATAGGCTTTTTTGAGTTTGGGCAAGGACACAGGGGCCCCATGATCCCCTATTGAGGGCCCGGGGTCAGTAGGGGGCCTCATGAGATGCCCCTGGTACCTTTTTATATAGGCTTTTTTGAGTTTGGGCAAGGACACAGGGGCCCCATGATCCCCTATTGAGGGCCCGGGGTCAGTAGGGGGCCCCATGAGATGCCCCTGGTACCTTTTTTCATAGGCTTTTTTGAGTTTGGGCAAGGACACAGGGGCCCCATGATCCCCTATTGCCCGGGGGCCCCATGAGTTGTCAGTCCACCCCTGATAGTGGGAGCCCCCACTGCTGTCTCTGAACCAATGAGGAGGGAGAGAGCTGCTGCTCTTGTGCACATTGCTGGATCGAGATCGGGCTCAGGTCAGTATGGGGGGGGGGGGGGGGGGGGGGCGAGCTGCACACTGGAGATTTTCTACCTTAGTGCAGAGAATGCATTAAGGTAAACACACTTTCAGCCTTCCAAACCACTTTAAATCCACTATGATGCCAAAAGTGAAACATTTGCTGTTAATGTTGTCTAGTCTACACAGCCAGGACTATGTTTTATAGCAGTGTTACCCAAACTATTTTCAGTCACGTCATCACAGACTTTCCGATGTTTACGTTCTGAATGTAATCCGGCTGTTTAACATATGGATAAGGTCTCTGTGGGCAGCTTGTACCACCTGCCTACACTGTAGGAACTAAATGGTTTTTCTGTTACTGCAAACGCTGAGTTTCTGAGGTCTTTTCTGCTTGTTTCTCAAGGGTGAAAATCCCCTTCCTTATCAAACCAGCAAGCCTGTGTAAAATCTCTCCAAAGTTTGCACATAGAGGCAGATATGTCTGTTCTGCAGTTTATGTCTCCTTATCTCCTTCAGGGATATAACCAGTGAAGTAACTAGCCTCAGGAGATACACATAGATGAAACAAATCCTCCTACAATAGTTGTACCTGTTTATCTGAAGCATTCTCTCCTCTACAGCTGTTCAAAGTAGTTTACACCGCATTTCTGAGCTTCAGAAGGCAGGGTGTTGGGATCTGATGTCACACCGCACAGCATAGAGAGGATAGCTGAGTGTAGTCTGAGACCTGAGTGAACGACACACTCCCCACTACACAGCCTCATAGGGAAACATACACAGCTGACGCTTTAAATCACCTGCTATGACATCCCCGCCACCCTCCGGGATTGCTTGGTGTGGGGATAAATTATCAGAAGTGACTCAAGCAGAGGGAAGAAAGAAAGGCCAGAAATCATAGTTGAACAGTAGAAAAAATGCTGCTGTGCTTATGAATAAAAAAAATATATATATTGTAATATTATTATTATTATTATAATGAACCCGTGTGATGCAGCAGTTCTACTTGTGAACTCATAAACACAAAAAATTGGAATAAATAGCATTTGGACCACGCATAAATCATGTAAACAATATAAACTTAGTAACAATCAGGGGCGGACTGAGCATTTGGAAACTCGGGCACTCCCCGAGGGCCCGGGGTCAGTAGGGGGCCCCATGAGATGCCCCTGGTACCTTTTTCATAGGCTTTTTTGAGTTTGGGCAAGGACACAGGGGCCCCGTGATCCCCTATTGCCCGGGGGCCCCATGAGTTGTCAGTCTGCCCCTGGTAACAATCCATATATAATGAGTGATAAACCGTAACCATCTATAAACTGGCTTTAGTATGCAGTCCCAGTATGTGAAAATAAAGTGAAAACGTGCTAGATTCTTGATTGTGAACCCTGTATTAAAGTGGCAAGTGCTCCACTGTGCTCAAACTGGTGGCTCACATGGATTTGCACTCACCATCATCTCATGACCACCTATCTCTAGGATGGTCACTTGTGCTTTGTTGAGACTAGCCCAGTAACAGCGTTATCTTGGTGACCAATGTTCCTTCACTAGTACTCCACAGTGTTGCCAATGGTACCCAATGTATCTTCACAGGGGCTAGAATAGATGGTACTGCTAATGGTAACCTGTGATCCTTCCCAGGGGCTAAATCAATACCGAAATCCTCCTCTTCTCCACAGACAGTAATGCAAGGATTCAGCATAAAAATGAAAACAAAAACAGACATCCCATAGTGTAAAACTGTAAACCTTTAATATTGGGGAAAAATAGTAAAAATGCAACTCACAAAAAGTGCCCATGACCTGGCACTAAGTGTATTCAGCTTTTTTTTTTCTCTTTCTTTTTGATCCCCCCTCTGGTTCCTCTCTTACATTTCTTCCATCTCCAATGTCATTGGATACCCCTGGTGGTCTGGGGGGTAACTTGTAAGGTTTCTGCCATTCCCTTAATTTCGCCCCATTTGGTGGGTGGTGGACATGGTTATATGGTCTGCCCCTCCCCCTACCTTTTGCAGACTCTACCAGGTTTTCTTCTAAGATTGCCCTGTATTTGGCTCCATCCATCTTCCCCTCAACTCTGACCCATCATCTCTGTCCCTGCTGAAGAAAAGCATTCCAATATGATGCTGTCACCACCATGTTTCACGGTGGGGATGGTTTGCTCAGGGTGATGTGCAGTGTTATTTTTCTGCTACACATAGGGTTTTGCTTTCAGGCCAAAAAAGTTACATTTTGTTCTCATCTGACCAGAGCACATTTTTCCACATGTTTGCTGTGTCTTCTACATGGCTTCTCGCAAACTGCAAATGGGACTTCTTATGGTTTTCTTTCAACAATGGCTTTCTTCTTGCCACTCTTCCATAAAGGCCAGATTTGTGGAGTGCACGACTAATAGTTGTCCTGTGGACAGATTGCCCCATCTGGGCTGTGGACCTCTTCAGCTCTTTCAGAGTTACCATGGGCCTCTTGGCTGCTTCTCTGAATAATGCTCTCCTTGCCCAGCCTGTCAGTTTAGGTGGACAGCCATGTCTTGGTAGGTTTGCAGTTGTGCCATACTCTTTCCATTTTTGGATGATGGAAAGAGTGAGATATTCAAAGCTTGTGTTTTTGTTTATAACCTAACCCTGCTTAAACCTTTTTCCACAACTTTATCCCTGACCTGTCTGGTGTGTTCCTAAGCCTTCATGATGCTGTTTGTTCACTAATGTTCTCTAACAAACCTTTGAGGGCTTCACAGAACAGCTGTATTTATACTGAGATTAAATCACACACAGGTGGATTCTATTTACTAATTAGGTGACTTCTGAAGGCAATTGGTTCCACTAGATGTTAGTTTGGGGTATCAGAGTAAAGGGAGCTGAATACAAATGCCCGCCACACTTTTCAGATATTTATTTGTAAAAAATGTTGAAAACGATTTATCATGTTCCTTCCCCTTCACAATTTTTTGCCACTTTGTGTTGGTCTATCACATAAAATCCCAATAAAATACATTTACGTTTTTGGTTGTAACATGACAAAATGTGGAAAATTTCAAGGGGTATGAATACTTTTTTCAAGGCACTGTATCTAAGTGAGCACCTAATGAAGCATCCAACACCTTGCAGGCCATTACGGGACTTTCGGCCCTTTGGCATTTAAAAAGCATAAGATTGCCCATACCTACTGTAACAAGCTGAATGTTTCAGAAAGCATTTTCAGGTCGTTTTATTTACTTGATTGTACAATCTCTCATTTGCAGGCTTAGGAGACCAAATGAGGCAAGTTAAAACTGTTCACCAGTAATGAAGCTGATTTAGTGTCATTAGAAGATGAAGACAAAAGGCTTAATTAATGACTATAAATAGGGAGCGTGTGCATTAATATTTTCATGTATCAATAAAGAAAGCGCCTATTACAGCAGAATAGTTGGGGGAATGCTGTGAATAAGATGTCTTTTATCTCACAAGTAGTGTAGGAGCACAGTGCGACAGTGAATCCAAATGGCATCTGGCACAGTGCCTCAATATCTGTGGGTAGCTTTTAGGCAAAACAGTGTAGAGTCCCGCACCTTTACCATGATCAGGTCCAGGGATTGCAATGTGTGGGAAACCTTACTCAACCTCATTCCTGCACTGACAGCCAAAGCTGATGTAAATGCTGCTTGGGTCCTGTGCAGGCTGGGCAACAATTATGAGAATTTGCAGGTACCAGCTAATTTTGACAAGTTACAATACATTTATTTATTTCAGGTACTTCTATAGCGCCGTCAATTTACACAGCGCTTTACATATATATTGTACATTCACATCAGTCCCTAACCCTCAAGGAGCGTACAATCTAAGGTCCCTAACTTACATTCACACATACACATACTAGAGCCAATTTAGACAGGAGCCAATTAACCTACCAGCATGTCTTTGGAGTGTGGGCGGAAACCAGAGTACCCGGAGGAAACCCATGCAGTCACAGGGAGAACATGCAAACTCCAGGCAGGTGGTGCCGTGGTTGGGATTCGAACCAGTGACCCTAGTACTGTCAGGTGGAAGTGCTAACCATTTTGCCACTGTGCTGCCCAATACATAGGTGAATTGTTGCAATATTACGCTTTTTTTTTTGTAAAAGTGCACATATCCTTAAGTCCCAGATCACACCGGTGCGACTTGTCATGCGATTGGTCAGTTTCAAGTCACATGACAAGTCGCACCCTTTTATACGCAATGGAAGCAGTCATATCAGTGTGATTCCGATTTGACGTTGCACTGGTTCCATTGGAGTCGCACCGATTTTGAAAGTACTTCATTCACTTCTCTTTGCAAGTTCAGGTGCGACTTGCATAGACATCTGTGCATGAAGTCGCACAGATGTCTTCCAAGTCGCACTTGAAGTTGGACTGACATCTGACTTTGAAATTGTGCGAATTCAAGTGAAATCACACAATTTCAAATTCGGATTCAGTGCGAGGAAAGACTTAAAGTGGAACTTCAATCTCTCAATCAACTACTTGATTGAAAAAGATTACTATTTGTAATCTTGTGCTGATAGCATTAGTAATTAGATAGGAAAGAATATAATATTTACTTGTTTTTCATTTTTTTTTACATTTCTTCAGTTACTTACTGGTTCCCATGCCTAGGCAAACATATAGTATTTCAAATATATATCTATATACTTGGGAAGATTATTTTTAAAATATATTTCAAATATATTTTTCTTCCATGTGGGCAGAGGGCATGTGCTCTAAGCTCCACAAGTAGGGCCCTCATATTCCTTCTGTACTGAAATGTATTGCAATTGTACTGTCTCCCGTTATATTGTAAAGTGCTGCACAAACTATTGGCGCTATATAAATCCTGTATAATAATAATAATAATTTGCCAGTGTCCAATCACCTGAAGGTGATTCTTATAATTCATTTTTATAATCCATGGTGTATAAATATTCTGCCTGTGTCTTGTATTGTACTCCATGATATGGAATTAGCAGGTAAATCAAAATTCCTCTTTTTTTTTGTTACCCCTTTTAATAAAGGCTGCAGTGGTTCTCTGCAAACGTATGAAGACATCATCTGTGCTTGATGTTGATGTTTTTTTCCTATTTAAAATGCTGAAGGATCCAATATTGCCACAAAGAGGCCCTCTTTTCCCTCTCAAAAGCGGTCTCTGTGCTTTAACCTAACTGATATACTTATATTCTTCTAAGCAGTCTGTCCACTTGTACACGAGCAGAGATCCCTGTAGAATGTAATGGAAGTATTATAGTTTAAAAAGCCCCCTGAGAGCTTCAGAGAAACAACATCTGCAGCATGAGTCACTGCACCTACTGCCACTAAACCCGATGCCAAGTGTTATCCGAGAAGTGGTGGGTAAGTGATGAGCTCCAATTGTCGCCTCTTTTCTTTTTCTTTGAATACATTCCTGCCAGTTTCATTCTCACAGTAGAAGATTGCTGATCTAACTCCTTAAACTCCCTATTTATTTGTTCCTGTACAAAATTCAAGGCTGTTTGCCTTTACAACTTTAGTTTTATGCAGTGTCATGGAGAACATAATGGTTAATTTGAACATGACTCATAGAGCAGTACTATGATACAAGAGATGACTTTGATTCAATCAATTAAAACCCAGTCATACATGAAATGATGTGATTTCAGCCCACAAAGTCATTTCCTGTGCAAATTAAACAAGGTTTTCCAACAAAGCCAAGTGAAAGAGCCACAGTCTAAACAGCAATGGCACCATATTGCCATCAGTCCACTTTCTGCATATGGTAACATGGCTTGAGGAAGGCTAATAGAGGATTGTCAAAAGAATGGCATGGAGGGGCAGGGCCCCACCATGGTGGCAGGGCCCCACCATGGTGGCAGGGCCCCATCATGGGTAACATGTACCAAAGCAAAAAAACTATGTTTTTATTTTGTTTGGCTGGTAATTTTAGTAATGCTTAAAGTGAAACATCATAAAATCCAAAATTCTTTTAATCACTTCAGTACAGGAGTCTTTCACCCCCTTCCTGCCCAGGTCAATTTTCAGCTTTCATCGCTGTCACGCTTTGAATGCCAATTACTTAGTCATGCAACGCTGTACCCAAATGAAATTTTTATTATTTTTTTGAGACATAGTTTTCTTTTGGTGGTATTTACCACTTTATTTTTTTTTTTTTTTTCGTTGCTATATAAATGAAAAAAATACCGGACATTTTGAAAAAAAAAACAACACATTTTTCTTCATTTCTTATACAAAATGTTGCAAATACATAATCTGTCTTCATACATTTTGGCTAAAATGTGTTCTGCTACATTTCTTTGATAAAAAATAACCCAAATCAGCATATAATATTTAATCCATGTGAAAGTTATAGAGACTACAAACTATGGTATATATATTTTATAATTGGTCAGTCCTGATATACTGACTGCCTATCTCATTTCTTGAGACCCAAAAATGTAAGGACAATAAAAATACCCCCAAATTACCTCTTTTTGGAAAGTAGACAATCCAAGGTATTTAGTAAGAGGCATGGTGAGTTTGTTGAAGTTGTAATTTTTTTAGTCACCATTTTTAAAAAAATGAAAACATAAATGGAATTATTTTTTTTTTAATTTTCACATACTGTCACCAGAGCAGTACAGCATTGACATATGACTGATGTAGAGGTGATCAGGAATACTGACTGGTGACAGTATGTAAAAAAAAAAGTTTTTTTTTAATTTTTAAAAATTTTTACATTCTGTCATCAGAGCAGAGCAGTGCAGTGTTACCATAGTGACACTCTACTACTCTGGGGAGGTGATCAGGATTTTTTTTTTAAACTATGATTGCTTATAACAGTAATGATCGCTGTTATAAGCAATCATTTTTTTGAAAGGCATCCATTTATTGGCATTGTGTACTATTGTGATAGCTGTGATTGGCCATAGCTATCACAATGTACAGATGGACTATGATTGGCCCTCTCTGTACCATGTGATCACTGTGACCAATCACTGATATCATCAGAATAGTACATAATGAATGGCTATGAATGAAAGCCATTCATTGTGTACAACTGTCATGTGATCACTGTGATTAGTGACATGATACCAGGGCCAACCTGATACAGCATTCAGTCTTCCGTTGTATCTGGAGGACACAGCAGGTGACAGATCACACTACAGTGCGGCGCGACTGCAGGAGTGTTTACAAAGCGAAGTGCGCTTCGCGCCTGTGCAGTAGGAGGCTGGCTGTAAAGCTGCAATTGCACCTGAAGCTGATTGAAGAATCGGCTCTGGTGAGATCATCGCTGGATCCCTGAACAGTTAAGTGTCCTCATATTAAAAGTCAGCAGCTACAGTATTTGTAACTTTTAATTTTGTTTGGGGGAGCCTGGAGCTCCACTTTAAAGGAGATGTATGGTATGGTTCATTTTATAACATCAGCATTGTAATAACAATACAAACAATAGTTATATTTGACAATCCAATATAAGCTAACTTGAAATGTCTCCTTTCACGTCGTAAGTGCTGCCTGTCTGACCGTCGATTTCTGCAACTTTCTGGATTCCCTGCATGCTTTGAGGCTTCTCATCTGCTGCTTACCTTTCATTTTGAAGAAATACATATCCCATGGTACCTTGCTGCCTGCAAGCAGTGATTCTTGTACTGACTCCGCCTCCTGAAACTTCTCTGTAGTTCAGAAGGCAGGCCTTGTGAAATGTGTGACACAGCAGTGCCTACTCACAGGGCATAGTGAATACATAATACAGAATGCAAGGAAGTAAATGTGTGGGGACCATTACAAACCAACTTTACAGACTTCAAGATCATTCAGATTAATAGGAGTAGGCTAGAAATATTTGAAATCCAATGTAGAAATGTACCGTATTTTTCGCTCCATAAGACACACTGTCAGTGCATCTATGGAGCTGCCGGTCCGGTATTTCCACCGCCGCCATGTCAGAATACCGGGCCGGCCGCTCAGCTCTGCAGCGGGAGCTTACCTGTTCCTCGGTCCAGCGGCGTGCTGTCTTCCCGGCTTCTGTAATGCGGGCGCTCGGCTTGACAGCCGGGTGCCAAGTGCGCATGCACAAGAAGCGGTGCTCTTTGTGAATGGTAAGGCAGCACCTGGGACACATGACAGGTCCCAGAAGCCGCCGGACCAATCACAAAGTGCAGCACTTCTCGCTCATGCGCACTGGGCACCCGGCTGTCAAGCCGAGCGCCCACATTACAGAAGCCGGGAAGACAGCGCGCGGCTGGATAGAGGAACAGGTAAGGTCCCGCTGCAGAGCTGACACTAACTAAATAACAACTCCGCGGAAGTAAGAGCGGGTACCTGTCAAATTCAGGTACCCGCTCCCCCCCCTCTCCAAAGGTCAGCAGTCATCTCCTGTACTGTCCGCAGTCTCTGGTCATCCCTGTACTGTCCGCAGTCTCTGGTCATCCCTGTACTGTGTCCGCAGTCTCTGGTGATCTCCTGTACTATGTCCGCAGTCTCTGGTCATCTCCTGTACTATGTCCGCAGTCTCTGGTCATCCCTGTACTGTCCGCAGTCTCTGGTGATCTCCTGTACTATGTCCGCAGTCTCTGGTCATCTCCTGTACTATGTCCGCAGTCTCTGGTGATCTCCTGTACTATGTCCGCAGTCTCTGGTCATCTCCTGTACTATGTCCGCAGTCTCTGGTCATCTCCTGTACTATGTCCGCAGTCTCTGGTCATCTCCTGTACTATGTCCGCAGTCTCTGGTCATCTCCTGTACTATGTCCGCATCCATTGGTTCAGAATATTTTTTTCCCCTGTTTTCTGCCTCTAAAACCTAGGTGCGTCTTATGGTCAGCGGCGTCGTCTTATACAGCGAAAAATACGGTATATACGATTTTTACATTTTGACCATAGATATTCTGTAAAGTGCATTCCCTGCCTGCATCTCCCACCTGTACACTTCTATACTATCTCAATCCAGCGCTGTGCCTATCTGCAGATGCTATCTCCTCTCTCTCTGCTCACAGAGGCAGCAGCGGGAGCCATTGGCTGCTGCTGTCAATCAAATCCTGCGAGCAAAGAGCAGGGGGGCGTGGGCTAAGCCGCGCTGTGTATGTCAATAGACGCTCACAGTCTGGCTCAGGAGGGAGCCTGCAGATGCATCCCCATAGAAAGCTTCCTTCCGCTTTGAGAAGAGGAGGAGCCCAGGAGTGTCAGCAGGGAACCCCAGAAGAGGAGATTCAGGGGGGGGCACTCTGTGCAAAACCATACAGCAGGTAAGTATAACATGTATATTAAAATTAAGCTTTACAATCACTTTAATTTGTTTTATTAGTAAAGTTATTCTGACATTGTGTACTGTATAGAGCTTTCCCCTATGGCACACATTTTCCAATGAGACCTAAAGATTACAGAAAAGTGAGAAATATCTGTTGTGTAATGACCCTCACTGTGATTTATTCTTAAGAATGTCATATTTTGGTACCACACGTGTTGTTTTTTTCTAGAAAAATGCAATACTTTCTCTGTGAAAACAGCATGTAAAACATATCTCCATCTGTTGGGTTTGGAAGGTTTCTTCTTAAATGTATTTAATAACGCTCTGTAATTTTTAATGATTCCTATGCTGTACTTATAACAAATGCAAGCAAGATTGGTGTGATTAAAGCAGACGGCATAGAATACAATATATGAGGTTGCAGGGCAGCTGAGGTCTTATAAAGAAATATACCTGAATAGATCCAAAGGAAAATTGCACTGGAGGTGGCAACTCATGGAAAATTGCTGAGAACAGACACAATTATACTGTTCCTGCTAGATGTCCATTAATTATAGGTATTGTTCTCCTTCAAATTTTTTTGTTGTTTTAACTATGTATTGGTGTAGTTATATTCCCTGTGTTGTTTGTTTGGCTTAGCTTGTAATGATGGGCTCACATGTTGAGGCTGCAGTTTGTAGTGTCATGGTTGAATGATTCCACTATGTCCATTTATTCATTCACCTAGCTTGTCCCTGTTAAAAGGGACAGGCAACGTCTTGCTCTGGATCACACAGCTACCAATCCATACCTCACCTTTTCCTCTGTGTTACACCACAAATGATGTAAGCTCTCTAATTATTGATCTGCTTGTTTTTGTCTGTGTCAGATTTAATTACTATTTAGCTTTCATCTGCACCAGAACAAGACCCAGGGATTGTAGGATATGTGGTTTCTTCACAGGAAGTGTCAGTTCTTAAACTACAGACAGAGACCATGCATTAAAGTGTTACTAAACCCACAACAGTAAAATAAGTCTGTATATGCAGTAACGCATGCTTGATATATTCACTGTGGAACCTAAGGGGTTAAACCTCTGCATTGTGTAAAATCGCTGTTTGATCCTGTCTTCTCTAATCCTTCCCTTTTTCCAGTGTCCCCGTCTTATCTCTTGATAAAACATATCATGTGGAGTCACTCTGCACAGGCTCAGTCTGGTGTGTATTGCTAGAGAGCTTTTTTTTCTTGAGAGAATGCATGTGATCAGCACTGGGCCAATCAGCACTGTCCAGACAGAGGTCAGGGGAGAGCAATGATATAACCTCATCAGCAGGGGCGGACTGACCATTTGGAAACTCGGGCACTGCCCGAGGGCCCGGGGTCAGTAGGGGGCCCCATGAGATGCCCTTGGTACCTTTGTCATAGGCTTTTTTGAGTTTGGGCAAGGACACAGGGACCCCATGATCCCCTATTGCCAGGGGGCCCCATGAGTTGTCAGTCCACCCCTGCTCATCAGTCTGTTGCTGCTTCTTCACTGTCCAATCACAGGCAGGAAAAGTAAGAGCCCTATCTGTGTTGCTTGATGTGATGCTAAACTGTGGTTTAAAATAGAAAAAAAAAATTCTAGTATGTATTTTAAACTAAAAAAGCCCTTCTATAGTTCTCAGCTTTCCCCAAATCTCCAAATTCCTTTTTTTGCCACTGTGATTGGTCTTCCTGTTAGAGGGTGGCTACATTTGTTCTCAGCGGCCCCACTGTATGTAAACACATAGCCACCTTCTACATATTGCGGAACACATGACTGCAACTAATGTGCACTATTCTTTCTAAACAAAGGAGAGTTTCTGGAGCTCACAGAGGATGTAACAAAGAGGTAGAAAACATTTTCATTAAATATGGATTACAGGGTCCTTAAAGTAATTGTAAACCATTACATATTCCCAGTGAAGTGACTGGCCTCAGATGATACACAGGGATTAAACAAATCCTTCTACATATGTTGTACCTGTTTATCTGCAGTCTTCTCTACATCCGTTTAAAAAAGATATCAACACAATGCTTTAAAAACTATCATGTCAACTCAGGTGTGTTTAGCATGCATCAACTACTACTGTGGATCCAGCATAAGTAAGTCTGTTTGTCTGCACAGACAGTTTTATAAGAAAAGTATTTTACTCGAATTGGTATTTGTAACCTTTATGACTACAAATACAGTTTTTGATGTTCTACCTGGAAATGTACATCCAAATAAAAACAAAATGCAAAAACAAGGTGAATTAAAATCATTATGTTATGTAATTTAATAAAATATAAAAAAACACCAAAGACATGGACAAATATTGAAATGCCAGCACTACATAGGACTGTGGGGGATCTGGCATTGCACTGTTGATTAGTGGGATTGATGAATTGTGCCATAGATTGCCAATGACAAGGGACAACCTTTGCAGCATGATTTCTCTAGTGCTACTAAAATAAAGGGTTAACCTACCAGCTTTTATGTATAGAGTGTCTATGTAATATCATGCCTGAATCTGGGTCTGGTACAGGCACTGAACTGTAAAGGGGTCCCTAGAGTTTGAGAACAAAGATGTCAGATCCTTTCTTTCTAAACAATGGTTTCTGCTGTAGGAAATGTTGGAAGAAGCCATAGAATGGATGAATGGATGACGGTATAGTATTCCGCGTTTGAAAAGATGAAGACTTGCAACTGCTTTTTCATAGCTTTCCCCATGGAATATATAGTCATCTGGCATTCCTGATTACAGCAAAAAAATGAGCATTTTAGTAACCTAGAAATATTTTTAAACCAGCATTTACAGAAACTCATTTTCTACGACAACATTTCAAAATAAGTGAAGAATTTGTAGGCTTAGAATTTACAGGATAACATAGAACAACCATGTTTTTTTTTGGATAATACTTTTTTTTATTTACTCTGTGTAATGGGAATGTTTTTCAAAAGCTCACTGGCAGATTGGGAATTCAGTTTTTTAAGATTTTTTTATTTCAAAAAAAGCTTCAGTTTAATGAAAAATCACAATATTGTTTTGAAATGAGAAGCTGTTAAAATTATATACAGAGCCAACTGGTGTCTTGATGGTATAGGGATAATATCATTGCCTGCCATCCCTAGTAAACATACTGTACGTTACAAATATTCACTGGAGTAACGTGAACACGTACACCCCTTTAAAGTGTATGTACACCCTAACAATAAACTTCCCTTAATTTCTCTCATTTGGTCTGTCAATTAAACTATTGAAATCACTTTGTTATACTGTATATGTTCTTTATGTGCAAAAAAAAATACCTGTTGACCTTTTCATACCTGTTCCGTGCACACTTCCTTTGTTCTGGATCTGGATTATAGAAAGAGATGGTTACATGTTAATGTAAGGGTTGAGTGTTAGGGTTAGAATAACCACATTTGCTTTCATTGCAGAACAAAGAATTACTTTACTAGGCTCACATTACTGAAAACAAATATAGGACTGTCATTGTGAAGATTGAAACCAGTGCTGAAAGTTTGAGTGAGACTGTGGTTGATATATTCCAGTTTTTAGTAAGATTACGAAAATCATGTGAATTTTTTGTATTTGCAAAAAAGTATTATATACAAAATATTTATTATTTAATAATGTGGGATTGTATAGGGGTTATGTTGTATGTGTGTCTGTAAGGGTTGTGTGTATAGCAGACTTTACAGCAGATTTCCGACTTTTTCTGTTCGGAAAAAAAGTTATTTAATCCACTATGTCCTTTCAAGACTGATTACTGAATGGTAAGGTCTGGTTCATTATAACTAGGGATGAGCTCCTGGTTTGTTCTGAACACAAGTTCTGAGTTTTTTTATTGTTTGGCCATGTGTCTGAACTCTGGACATTTAGTCCATTTGGCAGGAGCAAAACTTCATATATAGTAGTGGCTTTCTCTCTTTCTCTTAGCGATCAGTGATGCCACCCAGCCTCATTGGTTTCTTGACAAGGAATAATTAAAAAAAGAAACAATGTGGGGTTCCCTACAAATTCATACAAGGCCCTTCAGGTCCAGTGAAGGCTCCCCGCTGGCAGAATTCTATACTGCTCTGGGAGGTATTCCCCCATCAACACTGACTGTGTTGATGGAGGAACTGAGCAATTTTCTTTCCTGCAGACCGTGGCTGCAGGAAAGAAATTTGCAGCATCTATGGCTTGCTTAAGGCTGCCCCTAGATTGGCCATTTTATTTTTAATCAGCTAGCAGGCTGATCAAAATAAAAGCTAACAGCTAATGTGCTATTATATTCTGACAGGGGGCCTCCTCAGTTGTCAGACTACACCAGGGTTTCTCAACCGTGGAACCCTAGGGTACATGGAACCGTAGGGCTCCTCCAGAGTTTGCTAGGGGTTCCTTAAGCAATTTCTGCCTCTCAGATATAGTATGTTCCGACTGATACCATTGATCTTCTTAGCTTTCTGTAAGGGGGTAATTTTTCCCATTGACCACAAGTGTAAGGATCATTCTTCATACTGACCATCACACTAATGTATCATGAGTTGTAGATATAGTCATTTTTGGCAGGGGTTCCCTGAATGTTATTTCAAGGATTTTTCTGTGTTGAAAAGTTTGAGAAAGAAAGACTGACTACACTAATCAGTACTGCTGGTGATTGGCTGCAACCACTGATTGATTGAAATTTTTCCAACATTCCCTTTTGACAGAAGTCGATTGTTAGATTGACTTCTGTTGAGCAGGAATGGCCATAGATGGATCGAAATTCAGCCAGTCCCTGCTGAGCCAGCTGAATTTCGATCCAACTGTGGCCATTTTAGGTATCAGATTGTGGGGATTCAGTGATGGCTTCTACCAAAACAGTGTATGTTCACCTTTTCACAAATGATGAGGTCGAAGTGCAGCCACGTTGCCTTGGTGACAGGGTGCTGGGTAACACAGCCACATGAGTTGCTAACGGTACGTAGATGGAGGATGGATTAGCTTGGGATGGAGGGAGCCTGACAGGAACAGACGTAAGTGAAAGTTGGGTCTGCAGCTGAATACAGGTGCGTTAATCTTATGTGCAGTGTATGAGGGCACAGTAGGCCACATCACCCTTGGGGCCCACTATGCCTGGCACACATTGCACCCATGGAGGATACGCCACTGCTGTGATAGGTTGGCTATGCTTTTAAGTATATGTTTTGATTGGTGTGCACCTTGAAATACATTTGAGAATAATTAATCTACAAAAGTTTATACTTTATTTAATAGTGATTAGTGCACCATGCACTGATCACTATTATGTGAATAAATCAAAGAGTGCGCTAAATATAAGTAAATAGAAAAATAATTAGTTTAAAATAATGACGTCCATGATAAAAAAGTATTATATAAAAGTCCATCCACCATCACAAAGTAATTAAACAGTTCTGAAATCTTGTATAAATCAAACACAGTGCAAAAAAAAAAAAACCACCGAATGAAATGGGTACACTCACCAGAGCTCCATGCTGACCAGATTATAAGTCAGCAAAGATAGCGTTTGCTCTGGGAGCGATGATCAGCAGAAGTAATCTAAACAATGAGCAATATACTGCAAGCAGCCAGTCAGCACAATATGGAATAGCCTTAACAGCAGGTAGTCATCACGTCTCCATACCATGGATCATGTTCGGGGAATCAAAAAAGGAAATCATGGTGCAGTACGTTTAAAACCAAATTGTTTTATTAAAACATCAGAAATGCACTCACAAACAGGGTTTCTAGGCGACACCAGCAATGACAGCCTCAAGAAAGCAGGGACGAGCCTCGCTCGGGGCCCCGTGAGGAGGTCGGATGACATAACTAGTAGGGCGGGGCTTCTTTTGGATGTGACATCGGGACGCTCCTCGTAGACTGTCGGCTGTGATATCGCGGTGAGCGAGGCTTGTCCCTACTTTCTTGAGGCTGTCATTGCTGGTGTTGGCTAGACACCCTGTTTGTGAGTGCATTTCTGATGTTTTAATAAAACAATTTGGTTTTAAACGTACTGCACCATGATTTCCTTTTTTGATTCCCCGAACATGATCTATGGTATGGAGACGTGATGACTACCAGCTGTTAAGGCTATTCCATATTGTGCTGATTGGCTGCTTGCAGTATATTGCTCCCTGGTTGATTACTTCTGCTGATCATCGCTCCCAGAGCAAGCGCTATTTTTTTGCACTGTGTTTGATTTATACAAGATTTCAGAACTGTTTAATTACTTTGTGATGGTGGATGGACTTTTATATAATATTTTTTTTCACGGACATCATTATTTTAAACTAATTATTTTTGTATTTACTTATATTTAGCGCACTCTTTGATTTATTCAAATTTTTACCTTTTTTTGGTTAGGATTGCAGCTTTTGTTCTATTTAGTTTGTGGCGCTTTTTTTCTCTATTTCTTATATTATCACTGATCACTATTAGTCTGCATTGCCGGTTGAGAACCATTGCTATAGTAAAAGGTGCTGTAAACTATTAATGCTTGTAACGGTCTTACAAAACAAAATGCAATGACATTAAATCCATTCCAGAGGAGTTTACAGTTTATTAATACAGATTTTCTTCTCCTTGCAGTGAACTTGG